GTGCGCGGTGAAGTTTTGGAACGAGACACGTTTACACGCGCCTGGAAATGGATGATTTTCGCGTGGAGGGTTCAGGATGCTAGTGAAGGGTGCGTGCGGCGATGCAGGCTGACTCCAGGTCGGATGGAAGCTCGAGGCTTCCAGCCAACGTTCAGTTCATTGCTCTGGAATGCATGAGTATCTGGGGAAATGGCACTGCTGGCGCGTTCATCGGGGTCGCCCCGCTGCCATTTGGAATGCCTGGGGCGTCTGCGGGGCGTGGGCGCCTGCGCCGGGCGAGTTACGAGGCAGATGGCCCTACGCTCGGGCTCTGGGCGCTATCGCTAGCAGCTGATGCAGCGAATCACAAACCTAGTGGAAACAATTGGGACGCATGGGGGTCATTGATACACTGCGACAGCAGCTGTGCCAGTTGTGCCAGTTGTGCCTGCTGTGGTGTGCTGGTTGTGCCTCCGCCGACCCTTTCGCGCGCATCGTCGTCGTCGCCGGCGCCGTCACGTAGGCTCGGACTCTTGGGAAAGAAACGCCCACCCTATGCAGGCAGTGGCTTCGTTCAGATATGTCCTCGGCGCCACCGACCACCCCAGTGTCCCGTGCGCGGATGGCGACGCCCCGTGCACGTGCCGCGAGGAGTTCGTTTCGTGGGGATATCGGCGGCTTCGTCAAGTTGCACTTGGCCAGGCCAGTACCTCCTCGACCTACTGTTGAGGACATCGTGGCTTCTGAGGACGAGGTCGCTCGCAGAGATGGTGGACGCGCTCGGGGTGAATTTGCGGAGGCTTCCAGCCAAGCGGCAGTGGAGCTTCCAGCCAAGGACGCCGCCAAGGCAGATCTCTCCGGAGACGATCTCGTCGGGACGCCGAAGCGCGACGAGTCCATTGGCGCGCGAGGCAGTCGTGGCGCTTTGGGTGCCAGGCCGCTACATCCCCTGTCCTGCGTCCGATGATGCCTTCTGCGAGCCGATCATTTTTGGGGAAAGCAAACAGGCGCTCGAACGCGCCGTTTCTTTCAGGCGAGAAGTGCCGCCAGCGCGCTCTTCGGCGCAATCCAATTCGGGAAGGGCCATGGTGACGTGGTGACATTCATCTGTGGGACCATGGCGTCCTTGCCCATGGAGGTTGAGGATTCCGAAGTTGGCCAATGAGTGCGGGCTCGAGCCTGCCCATTGGGCGCGAGCAACGCAAGCCGCGGGCCCTGTCGCTCTCGTCGGGCTACCGCTCGTCGGGCGCAGGTTCCTGGATCTCGGGCCCTCCACCGCCAGAAGATACGCGCGCAGCCAAACATCGCCCGCGCCATCGTCGCTTCAGCTTCGAGCTGCGTCCGCTGGATGCCGCCGCGTCGAAGGCGTCGCCGACCCATCAAGTCGTCGCAGCATCGCAGCAACGTCATCATCCAATTAGTGGGATGAAAACTCTTGGTCGCGCTGCCCGCCGCCGTGTCGGAGGAGGAGGAGGAGGAGGAGGAGGAACAGGAGGGGATGAGCAGGATGAGGAGGAGGCCTCCCGATCGCTTCTTGGGGCATGTTAGAGGGCAACCTTACTCGTGAACAAGAAGCCTGTTCAGGAAGCTACTTAGGGTTTCTTGGGAGGCCTCTCGGGGGCCTCCTGGCGCTGTTTTTCTTTCGGAGCTCCTTGGGCCTCTCGGGGGCCTGTCGGGGGCCTCATGGGGCCTCTTGCGAGCCTCTTGGAGGCTTCTTGGGCCCTCATGGGGATGTCCGATCGGGTGCCTCGTCAGCCGCTCTTGGAGCTCTCTTGGGGGCCTCTTGGGCGGTCTTGGAGGGCTCGCGGGCTGTCTTCGGGCCCTCTGGGGCCGTTCTGGGGCCCTCCTGGAGACGTCTTGGGCCGTATTGGGGCGATCTTGGGGGCCTCTTGGGCCGTCTTGTAGCGCGGGTAGGGCGAAAAGGCGAGAACGCCTAAACCTCTGAAACACGGAAGGACATCAATTAGTGTTTACCTCTGGGGGTCCTTTTGGGAGGGCTCTTGGTGGCCTCTTGGGGCGTTTGAAAGGCGTCTTGGGCCATCTGGAAGCCACATTGGGCGTCTTGGACCGATCGTTCGACGACTGTCGGACGGTGGGTATTATTTTGACACCTGGGTCGTTCTGTCCCGTCCGCGTGTGGGGTCCTCAACATCTGGCAGGACAGGCGCCGGGAAGGAGGTCGTGGGGAACAGTGAGGGCGTCGACGGAGGAGAGATCCGCGGGCCCCTGCCGGCTGCCAGGCCGGGGTCGCCGCCACCGCAGCCGCCCACTCCAGAGTCGATGATGCAGGCCGTGGGCCAGGGTCGCCCCCCCTCAAGTTTCCCCCCGCCCACCGCCCCTATCACTCCTCTCTTCTGTATTTCCCCCCTCTTCCCCTCTCCCTTTCGCCTCTCCTCCTCTCCTACTCGTTTTGGCTCTCGCCCCGTCCCACCCCTCTGTCCCCTGTTCCCCTCCTCCCTTTTTTGTTCCCCATTTCTGCTTGCATCAGGCACGGCGTATTGTGCGTTCGATGATCCAGCGCACGAAGACCGAGATGGAAAGGCGAGAGGTAGTCGTCTTGGCACGGTACGAACCAGTTTCGATCGTTTCTTCCTTCGTTCTTTCTTGCCCTTGTCATCGGGACAAGCTCCTGTTGTGTCTGCGTTAATTGTGTGTGCGAGGAGGAAGTGGAGGAGCACGAGGAGGAGAGGAGGAGGTTCATGGAGACGGGGGGGGGGGGCGAGGGAGAGGAAGGGAGAGGGATAGAGGAAATAGGCAAAGTGAGAGAGAGAGGACATGGAGAGGAATGGCGAGAGGTAGAGAGAGAGAGAGAGAGACAGGTAGAGAGAGAGAGAGAGAGAGAGAGAGAGAGAGAGAAAAAGAGGCAGCCCGCGAGGCCTTCGCCTGCCCGTGGATCGGGGCGGACGTCTTCGTCGGGCAGGCCGGTTGGCAGGCTCGGCAGACAAGGAAGGGTCGAAAGGGAGGAAGTTTCCTCAGGCTGACTCAAACGACGCGAAGATCGGGACAACATCGGATCGGGATAACTCGAAATCTCTGAGAATCGGCGGGTTTGGAGGATGTACTGGGCGCCGCGGCCGCTCCAGAGCGTTCCGGAACGCTCTGAGACCGCTCCGGAACGCTCTGGAGCGATTGATCCCGATCCTAGCCCTGTTTTACTAACCTGCATCGATGGGAACCTGGATGAATCAACGTAAATCCAGTGACATCCAGCTGCCTGCGGCAAGTCTGGCCACTTGTTCCAGCGCGGCAGCGGAGAAGGAGTCACATTGAGTTTCGGACCCGCTCTAGTTCAGCGCTCTGCGTGAACTGTTGCGGGTCTTGTGCGGCCCTCCCGGGTCCGCAGCCTCGGTCTTTCCTACCTTCAACCTTCCTCCTCTTTCCTTCTTCTTCCGCCCCTCCCTTCCTCTCGTCCTCTCCCTGGGCTTCCATCCATTTGGAAACAGGGTGGAGATGGGCCAGCAAGGTTGAACGCGTACCTGCAGTGCCGATGGGTGCGGCGCGCGGCCTGTTGGAAACCACAACTACACGGATCCGAGACCAGCCCAGCGCAAGCATGGCGGGCAACGGAAGCAGTGTGACCACGACATCGCGAAGTGAATGGAAGCGATTCCACGACGCAAAACACTCCGACGACATTGGTTGCGAATGGGGGGCTGGCACCTGCGCACGGTGCCCACAGGTGGCACGGGTTAGAGAGCAAACCTACCCCGCGCAGGCCCCCCCAGGGCCCCGCCCCTGATGGTGCCGCGCGCGCGCCTCGCATCGCCTCGTTTTTCCGTCCCTCTTCAACCTTTGATGTTCGCAACCCCGCTAGCCCATCCGCGCTCGGTCGCTGTGCTTTTAGGCTCGCGCGTAACTCCTCCCCTCACGCCGTAGGCGGCCTCGCCCGCGCGTGTAAATTAGATCGGCCCGTGGCCTGGACCTTTCAACTCGGCGCCTGCGCTTTCGCCTGCGCCCGCGAGGAAAAATCCCCGCCAGCCCATCCCGAAACGATATTTTGAGAGCTGACGGCAGAGATAACGAAGAGACGCGTATGGCGATCCAGAGCGGGCAGCACGGGTGGCCCGAGAGATCGTAGCAAGCAAGTGGGTGACCCTGGAGAACCTCTTGGGGCCATCTTTGTGACCCGCGTTGGGGGCGAGGAGGAGGAGGAGGAGGAGCAGGAATGAGGAGGAGGGGGATGGTGAGGTGAGGTTGTCGGAGGCCCCCCGGGCGCGGCCTTTTCCTTAGGGACTTGAGCCACGGGGCGCAAGCAGGGCAGCAGAATGGGGACTGTCCCCGCGCGCTGCCCTTTCGCCATGCATGGGCCTTGTTGCGCGGGTGCAGTTCAGCAGCTGGTAGACTGATAGGGTGAAATCAGGAGGGAAAAAAAACACACACACAGACACAATTAATCGTCGACTCCCAGGAAAATATACAAAAATATGGGAAGTGGGGGGGGAATACAAAAAACCAAAAAATACGGGCAAGTATGGGACATCTTTTTATTTGTGTGTATTTATTTGTGTGTCTGGGGACCCTTCATGAAAGGGGGGCTGCGCCTGTCCGTATGATCCTCGTGGGGCGGGGACATCGTATGGATGCGGATCTCATCGGCCAGGGGGTGTGCACATCCCCGTGGGTTACGATATCGCTATATCACTTCCCCGTGGGTTACGACATCGCTATATAACTTTCTCGTGCCTCGACGCGCTGGGGCGGACAAATCCTGCCCCCCCGTCACAAAGCAGAGTATCTCGGCGACCGTTTAGATTGCCACAGCTTGTGACGAGCGATCGTCGTCGACGTCATCCTCATTATCATCGTTGTCGTCGCCATCACCGTCGCTACTCATAGCCGCGGGCTCGAGCCTTGGCGAAACTTTCCCTGGGCCCACCCGCCCAGTTTCGTCGTAAGATTTGCTCGTGCCTCGTGTGGGGTAGCGCGGCCCGCGGGCCGGTATCCCATGGCACGTTCCGGAAACTTACGGTCCTGGGCCTTTTTGCCCCGTGGCGCCACAAGCTGACCACGCCGTGGCGTGGTTTGGTGCCGTGTTGGTTGCCAGCGGGGGCACTGCATAATGCAATGCGGCGCATCACGCTGCGGCCCCCTTTATGGCACGGCAGCCTGAAGGAGGCGTCTCGCATCGTAGGTAAAGTGCGGGGTGTTCCCCCGTACGCGCGCGCCTCCCCAGGTGCACGCAGGGGGGAAGCGTCCCTGCGCAGGTCCCGCACGGGGCCTGTGCTTCTCGGGACTTGCCCTCCTCCTCGCTGCCAAAGCCCCGCATGGGGTTGGCAGTGGGTTCCAACGGTCCACCCAATATCCACACGCACACACACACACTTAGTGCTCACATTCTGTCTCTCTCCATTCCTTCGCCCCCTGTCTCTGCATCCTCCCCTGGCCATCGCATCTTTCCGCCTGGTCTCCACGTTGGCCTCGTGCGCGATCCTATCTAGCCCCTGCCAAGATGCGGAAAACATGTGACACCAAGAACTTTGAGACCACGCGTGCCCTGGACCGGGGGAGCCGGGGAAGGGAGGCACAGGAAGGTCCAGGAAACGCGTCATACAAAGACTCACCACTACAAGACAGCATAAGCAATCCCAGTGAACAGGCGTTACGATATCGGCGCGGGAATTGTTGTCGAGCCTGAGCTATGTGCATTCGACCAGCCACTGCCGCATCACCCAAGATGACCGTCCCCTCGGCAATGAGGCTCTGAGTCATGACATCGCACGAAGTCGGTTGCCGATGGCGGCCAGGGCCGCGCCCGCAGCCGTGGGCGTAGTCAAAGCGCTGCTCCTCCTCGGGGGCGGCTCGAAGCAGAGGGGGTGGGCACGTCCTGGAGACGGCTTCTTTGTCTGCTGTTTGGTGGCCTCCAGGTGACGACGCCCGCAGGGCGGACGCGACGCCGTTCATCGGGCTCCGCGTTGTCACCGAGAAGCCCGACCGTTGAATTTGGAATGGCCTGAATCAAGAAATCATATCGAAGATGATGCAATGGCAAATTGTTTTGGTTTTCATAGTGAACATGTCGCCGAACCTGCGGGGAATGAGGGTCTTCAAGGCGCCGTTACGTCGATGGCCAACGTATTGCCCTCCAAGGGACTCGAGCATAAAACAAGGCAACGCTTGACGACCGAAATATCGACCACGATCGTGAACACTTTGACTGGGTGTTCGGATCCGCCCGCTGGGGCAGGATGAGTTTTTGAGAGCTCCAGGCGCGCGTCGGGCTGCGAAGCGTTCCCTGCCCCCCCGGCGATCCATCCAGATGCATGTGCGGTTGCGGATGGCGGCCCGCAGGCGGTCCGATCCAGCAAGGCGGGGCGTCTCGCCGCGCATCTGCGTCTTCAGAGCGGCCGCTTTGTCGAGGGATTGCCGGTGGATGTCCCGCAGAGCGTTCAAGCGTGTCGCCTGCAGGCGGCGTCTCGGGTAGAGGCTGACGGTGGTCCGAGCGATGCCCTCGGCGTTGTCGAACATCGCCGCCGGGCAGGCGAGCTCCACCGCGCGCTGGGCGGGCGGCCTCTGGCTTTGTTCTTGTGGTGAAGGCAGGCGTGCTGATCACCCCGGTGGTGCCTTTGCCGTGCGTGCGCAGGTCGATCTATTGCTGACTGGATCAGTTCATATACCGAACAGCCGCCCGCCCAAGTACATCTGTTCATGTTGGCCAGGGGTTTTTGTAAACCCATCGGCTAGATTATGGGTTCCTGGCGCGGGCGTGTGCTGCGGGGCGATCCCGGTCTCGTGCAGGATGAGCAGCGAAATTTCCGCGTGCTTGTTCGAGTGTCCAAGTTTCTGGCTGCGTCCTTTCGTGATCGCGTCGTCGACAGACTGTGTGTGCAGACGGCCGACGATTCATATTGGAGCGGGGCGCGTGTGCTCGACGATGACTGCGAGACTAATGGCGTTTTTAACATTTGCGTCGAGTGCGAGGCTCTCACTTTCGCCCGTGCTCGTGGCGGCGATGTCCTGGCGCGCAGTTCCCCGCGAGAAGGGGCGCTGGGAGTTTTGTCGGCCTGGCCAGCTTTGGCTGGGGCCGCTTTGGCTCAAGCCGCCCGGGGGGCGGCTCCGGGGGGGGGGGGGGGTCTTGCATTCGCGCCCGACGCATTATCTCACATGGCTGCGTGATTTTTCCGCCTCGGGCTGCGCGGGCAAAGTTGGCGGTTCATCATCTTTAGATCCAGGAGATATCCTCGCGTTGGAGCTCTCGTTGAGCATGCGCGCCGAGACTATGTCCAAGTCGTGGGGCGGGGCGGCGAAGAGGGGGGCGCGTCGATTTCAGAAATGCGAGAGAGCTCTCGCGCAGGTTTTCTTCTCCAGGTGCCGAGCAGCTTTCCATCTTCAGATCAAGGTGGCGAGCGGCGCAATCCATGTCTCGCTTGAGCTTCCATTCTTAACTTCCCCATCGCTTTGAGATTCTGACCGGCCTCCGCAAGTAGGTGAATGTCATTTTCTGCCAGCCTCTGAAGGGGTGTAGGTTGATCTCGGCTATTTTTCTTCTCCCCCCTCTTCCGCGTCCTCCTCCGGGCAGACTGAGCGTGGGCGGTGGGCGTGGCAGGCGCGTGATTGTACGTTATATCTCGTTTTCTGACTCGCGTGCTGAGCCGGGGCGAGCCGCGCGGATTCCCTGCCAGCGCGCCGTTTTGAGGCGGATGGCCTTCTGCCTGATTGGCAGCTTCAGATAGGGGCCCACGATGCTCTTCGGGGTGTCGACTTCTGCATCAGGCCATGCATGTAGCGATGTATTGTCCCAGCTATCACCTGCGTCGAGCATCGCCAGTTCGTGCCCGCGCGTGACGGACAGGGGCCGCGCGAGATGCGTAGGTCCCGTCTCTGCCCGCGGACGCCGCGCGCCGACGTTCTGGGCGACGTGGCCTGCAGCGACAAATCTGGCAGGGCGTGGGCGTCGAGCAGCGTGGGGGATCTCACCAATTTTCCTGCGCCTGC